TTGTGTTTTTTTTAACTTATGAACAATTTATGTATTTTTCCAGTTTTTTTTATTATGACTACTCTGATGGTTTTATGTAAATTACTACTGATTATTACTAAATGTGTCTCACTTTAACATATATGAACACTGTACGAATCATGTATGAAAATCATATGAATTATGAATGTCATATTAAAATTTGATATATAGTACATAGTAATGTTAAATTATTCCATAAATTTGTTTTGCATGAATACTATACGCTTTCAAATACAAACAGAAAGGGATATTAATTATATTACTGGTATGAATACTGTATGAATTATATCATACAATTATACATTAATAAATGTGTATCACCATCTTGCATACATTATTCATACCAGTAATATACATACAATTTATTTCTGTTTGTATTTTTATTATGACTACTGATGGTTTTATATAAATTATTACTGATTATTACTAAATGTGTCTCACTTTAACATATATGAACATTGTATGAATCATGTATGAAAATCATATGAATTATGAATGTCATATTAAAATTTGATATATAGTACATAGTAATGTTAAATTATTCCATAAATTTGTTTTGCATGAATACTATACACTTTCAAATACAAACAGAAACAAATATTAATTATATTACTGGTATGAATACTGTATGAAAAATGTATGAATTATTACAAATTATAAAATATATTTTTCACAATACAAACAGAAACAAATTGTATGTATATTACTGGTATGAATAATGTATGAAAACTGTATGAATTATAACATATTATAATTTAATATGTATAACATAAACATACATTATTTTTTATATGCAAGTATTGAATTTGTATAAATGTATAAATTTTGTATGTAGTCCCCATTATGAATGCAATAACTGAATAAATGTTACATGATTATATGAATTATTATTGTTAACATATGTCAATATATGAACAGTTGTATATACAATGTATGACATTTATATGAAAAGTAATATTATTCAATAAAAAAATATTTTATAACAATGTAATGCCTCAAAAACACAGATTTAACATTACAACATCATTGTTTTTGTACAGGATAATTTGAACAAGTCTTCCTATTGTGTCCAACCTGATGACATCTACTGCATGTGCTTTTTGTCTTCTTGAATTTCATATCTGCGAACCCCTTCCGCCGTTCAAGTTTGGGTCTTTCTGTTGCTCTTTTTGGACCAGGCGGCATCAATTTAGGATTTGAAATATAACTTGGTATATCTCATGTACGCTCGACAGGAATGGCTAAGCATCTTTGAAATTCTTGAGGCTATAAAAAGCAGAACATATGCAATATAACATGGGAATTTAACATATGCAATATAACATGCAATATAACATATGCAATATAACATGGGAAAAAAATACGACACATTAATAAAATATTAAAAAAATTAACCCGGTGAATTCCATTTGCCACCATGTTTAATTAAAATTGACACAATTTTCTCCATCAAATCAAATCTAAACTTTTTCAACCTTCAATTTTAATTGTTTTTCCAAAAAAAAATATGATAAAATATGACAGAATTCGAATATATGAATATAGTTCAATTTCTGAAAAAAAAGATACACGTTTATGGGAAGAAAGATAACAGAATACAATTTTTTAAGGATAAAAAATCAAAAATAATTACCATTAAAAACGGATTGAGATAATTAAGGTGCATATTTATAATTAATATATTTTAAAATCTCTTAAAAGGTTCACATTTTGTTATCAGTTAATAACAGTAACTACATTCAAGGAAATTATCCAATTTTAATTATTCATTTTTTAATTTTATTTTTCATCCTATTTAGAATAAATATTTACAATATTTTAATTTAAAGAAATGCTATAAGTTGATATATTAAATGTTATAGAATGAAAATCAAACTCTTATGCCATAACTTGAGAATATGACTACATAATATGCTATATAGCTAATTTACACATAAAATATCAACATGACGGATCCCATTATCCACCATGTTTAATTAATATTGATAAATTGTTGTCCATCACAACAAATCACAATTTTTGTAACTGCAAAAAAAATACTTTAATTAGTAAAAAAAAGGGATTACGTACTGTAAAAAAATGGAGAATGAGAAACGCAATAGAGAGAAAAAAGGGGGAAAATCAAATTTTGATTTAACTACAACTAATTTGAGTGTTTTAAGAAAAACGGAATAATTTTAATCTTTTTTGAATTCCTTAATAAATGATAATTTGTTAATTATTCATTATTAATTCAAATTATTTTAAATTCCACAAGTCGTGCTACTTACAAATTAATACATAAACGTTTTTTTTTTCTTTTTTATTTTATTTAAAAAACAAATGTTTAAAATTATTTTGAATCAACCCTTTTTTTCAAATAATATGTTATAACTTGAGATATTAAATATCATATATTGAAACTCAAAATCTAATTCTATAGCTTGAAAATATTACTACAAAAAATGTTATATGCAAAATTTACACTTTTTTTTATTGGGTCATGTTAATTTTAAATTATATTTTCTCTTTCTTCCTAATTTTTGAAGGGCAAAATGGTCCGGTGTACCCCTATATTTGTATGAGTTTGTATTATGAACTCTTTTACTTAATAGTTTACCAATTGAACCCTGACACTTAATAAAACACAATATATCAAACATCTCTAACCATTGACCATACTTATGTGACATTAATATGGTTGAGTTGGCAAGACAGTGAGACCAAACACCTATTAAAGTAAGAGGAATATCATATTTGAATTTTAAAAATATTTAAAAATAAAGAGTAAAGTAAAAAACTTAAAAAGAAAAGAAAAACCTTTTTCTTGACCCAACAACCTACTTTTTTTTCCGCCGTCACTTTTTTATGCAAATTTATCGAGGGAAATTGATCTATGATTAAATCATAATATATTTGGCTAGATTGTACTTTCCACTCTTCATTACGAGAGTCAATTTACTGGTGATGCTCTCATGGGTCCTCTTCGATTACTTCCCAGTAGTCACCATTCTTGATTATCCAAAAACCTGTGAAACTGAGAGAAGGGGAAAGGGGGAAAAAGGAAGAGAGAGGCTGCGTTTGTACTTGTAGTACTAGTTATTATATTTTTCAGCCATTTTCATTTTTGTCCAACCCTCTTTTGTTCTTTCTTTCATCTCTTTAGGTGGTCTGGTACACCAGAGGCGGCGAGGTACACCGGAGGCAGCGACAAACTTTCCGGCCTTCTAGTGCGCCGGAGAGGAGGGAGAGCATAGGGGATCCCTGATGGTTCATATGAGTCGTCAATGGTATAGAAAAAGGAAGACAGTGGAAAGGGGACGAGGCTGATGCAGCGGCATATGATTTTTGAATTTGTGGAGGTTAGAGGAGGAAGTAAGAAAATGGTGAAAGTATGCGCAAAGATGAAGACAGATGAGGGAGAGAGTATTTTTGGTCTCGCGGTGAGTGGTGGCAGCGGCAACTTTTTCCGGCGATTGAGCCATTTCACCGGTGAAAATGACAAATAATATAATGAGACCCAAAATTTAATTTAAAAGAACAAATTTAAATTTTATTTTCTAAAATGTGCATCAAAACTTTATGATTTTTCGTCCAAAAAGAAATTATTATAAGAATAAAAAATGATGTGAAATGTGACGTCATCGTGATTGAGAGTCACGATGAGTTGAAAGGGAAACATATTAGAGTTTAAATGAGTTCAGGGGTTCAGATAACAAAAGGATAAATAAAGGTATTAACAATACAAATAGGTACAAGTAGAAAGGTCCGCTAGACCATTTCGCCTTTTTGAAGCTTTAAAGTCAAAGAATAGTTCCACTATATCAAAGTGTCAAAGAATTAGTTGAGCCTCACATAACTAATACAAGTTGTACCTCTCCTACAGTAAAAATTTTCTTTTTAGACTAGTTCCCTGGGAGGATTTTCGTGTATTCTTCAAAAGTTCTCTATTGAAATTGAGACTAGCTTTTTCATTTTATTAAGGCAATATATCATGCTTGTTTTACTTCTGCATTTCCAATTTAAATTTGGTGAAAAGGGTTCTCTTAGGTGATGGAGTAGGTGCATGCATGACACAATGAATCAGATCGTGACAATTGAATATCAAAGCTCAGATTACCAATCTCCCAATACAAGAGCAAATGTCAAATAGAGTCTTATGAATTGATGCATTGACGTCTACATTTCATCTTTAGGGAACAATGAAGCATTCTGAAAAGTTAACATATTGCATTAAGGGTCATATGAATGTAAAAATAGATGATGCAAATAAATATAATGCACCTGATTTAATTTAATGATAAAGTTTGATAATTGCTATCATATATATTGCATTGCTTGAGTAGCTGCCTATGTGTGAACTGTAATTTGTTGGATTTCGTAGAAGTGTCGACAAAAGAAGGGGAATAACTTGGTTATGTAAGATGGGTTGATGATAAATTGTTGGAAGTGTTTGTGTTTAAATTGACATAGGTAAAGATGATAAGGGAAAAGAATGAATCGTGACTCTGTAGAAACTCTGATTTCGGAACAGTCTGGTATTGTTTGAGAACCACGGAGAAAGGGTTATTCTTGTACGATAGCAAAAATGTGATATATGAACTGCTTTTGGTGCTATTCGCGATTTTGTGATTATGTGGTGGTAAGCGCCTATTTGTGTGTTGTTGGGTATGATCATGTGATCTATATGTTGAAGCTATGGTTCGAATATCTGTGATATTTGTGTCACGTTAAGACTCTCAAAACAAACAAAGAAAGGGACAATATAACCTCCAAAATTGGTCTTTGGTCTAGTGATGTATTACTCTATGCAACACAGAAAAAGGTAAAAGGTTTAAATAATTCCCTCAACACAATGTCAAATATTTTTACTTACAACTCCTTTGGTTCCATCATGAGTAAGATTTTCCAGGAGCCATAGTATAGTATTACTAAGTTGACTCAAGAACCTCCCTTATTTGTGTGTTCGTTCACCGTCTTCTTAACTAGAACGGGGAGGAAATAGAAGACGAAAAAAATAGCTGTTGCAGGTAATTCTTTCAAGTTTTCAAGGCAGTCATCTTACATATGGGACAGGTATTCTTCAGGATCAACCACTGCTTAATGCAATTAGTATGGAATTCATGCCCACAATCCAAAATGCCCATGATATCTCCAGATGTGTATTCCTCCTGATTTTAGTACACGAAATAGGACAAACTTTAGCTAACAAATCAGCCAAAAAGGTTGTTCTGGGACAACTATTATCTAGTAATGTATAAAAACATCAGATAAGATTCTTACCTGACATATACAGCAAGGTTCCAAGTTGGATGAGGACTGTCCACGTAAAGACCCATGCTTCCGCTGTTTCATATTGACTGAAATGGTTTCTTCACTCAAGCCTGTGTTTACATTTCCTATACGTTCTTCCAAAGCCAATAGTTCCTAACGGACGAAGCAATCAGTGAGACCAGCATCTAGAAATTTAGTCAAAACAAAATTTAACTACATTACCTCATAGGACATATTATCAACGTCGAGCCTCATGGCCCTATGCCTATCATGGAACTCAGCAACTCCATTGATAAATGGATCAACCAACATATAATCCTGAGAAAGTGCCCACAAAAGTCACCATAAATTCTTCATCAGTAAGAAGCAGCAAATAAAGTAGCCAAGCAAAATTGAGCTATTCTAATTGGCTAGCAGTAACAAGTTCATAATTTAGCACTTGGATCAGGTAATGAGCATTTTTAATAGAGGATGAAGGGTTGAAAAAGGACCCTGTCCAAAGAGGAAGACTGCACCAAGAGAGCTCTCTTCTAACAGCGAATCAAGAATTAGAACCTTTATAATGAAAAATCAGATGCAATTTGATCTTGTCATCGAGACTAGTTAAAAAAATGGCTCCGAAAACTTAAAACCTCTTATCCATCCAAATTGCAACCAGAAAATTCAAACTCGCTCTTTCTTCTTTTGATCATTAGGAAACTCCAACTGACTCGATCAGAAATAATGACAAGTCTTTTTTCCTCATCCAGGCAATAATGTTACCATGAAGGCTGTTAAGTCCCACATCCCTGGGTGGGAGGCAAATCTATATCCTTACATGATCTTGGGCAATGCTCACCTCTTGAGCTAGAATTTGGGGTTGAGTAAAGCCCAAGATCCATTTCTTTATGCAGGCCATATAATCCTTACCTTTCTCACCAAAGCTAACATAGCACAGCTTAAAAGTGTTAGTATTGTTTTCAAACTTTCAGCGTTTCGAAAAGAATTAACAGTCTATGTATGTACACAATTAGATAACAAGCTGCAAATCATTTCTGCTAAATATATATTCATTGGATTATTTATTATAAGGATTGAGATGAAACCTCTGATCTCAAGTTCTCGACTCTCCGCATGGCATTCAGGACTTGACGAATCTGTTGAACATAAGTGGAGAAAAGATTAATCAGCACTGACAAAGTCTCCGATTCGGCAAGGGAAGTGGAAATTATTGGCAGATCTAGAGCAACTCAAAATCAAGACATGTAGAATTAACAAGGATAGCTGCATAAGTGGTGAACCATTACAAATCTAATTCATAGATTGGGCAAACCAAATAGCATGGCAAACACGGTTATTGGTAAAACCATAACATATTGGTTGCTGTTTAGCCTAAAGAGATCACTGATGAGTGTTAACAAGCCACTTTAAATTCATTGACCAAACGAATCCAACTGGATATAAATCTATTTAAAAAAGGCAATAAATTAAAAGAAGTCTCCGGGAGGATAAAATACCAATGGGATCAAATATCTTTACATCAATCATGCCAGATACAAGACAACCAAGTTATGAAACCTCTATATACCAAACACAACAGCTTTAGAAATCATTATGGAAAGCAACCCTCATACCAGTCTGTGTCGACCCTCAACATCAGCAGCTAAAGCACGCCAACCATCTACATCATCCCCTGGATCAACCATCAAACTCGATCTAAGATGTGGTTGACGGTTACCCCGGCTACCATATCGGGAAGACATCACTGGATCCTCTGAGGAAGAAGCAGCTGAAGGTAGCAGAGAAGAACGACCTCTCTGACTTCCAGACTCGGGCTCACCTGATGGGAAGAGAACCCAAGGAGCAAATTCTGGTAATCCATCATAGCTAGTAGTTGCTGAATTCTGATTAGCCCATGCAGTAGGAGAATTACGTGCTCTTGAACCAGGACCCATTGCAGAACTAGGAATATTTCTAGAAGAGCTTGCATTTGCAGTAGCTAAGCTCCAATTTGTGGGGTCAAGTACCATATTTCTTGTCTCAGGAACAAATGGATGGGACTCCCCATTATTTCTGACAGTACTGAAGTTAGATTCATCTCCCAATGAAGCACCTCTATCTCCAGAAATCATTGATGAACTACCGCCTCGTGAACTAGGAGATGCTTCCCAGGGAAGCGAGTGAAAACCTCTAGAAAAACCAGGAACTTGCATCATGTGAGACTGGCCTCCAAGGTTACCTGAATTCATTGGCTGTGAAAATGGTTGTCTCGAGTCCAAAGAGCTTGTTACTGAGGCAGATCCAGGCGGCACATGGGCAGGGCTGACACTAGAATGCCCTACAGTAGCGCCAATCGGTAGTAAACCAGATGTAATGAGATCCTGATTCACAAGATTTGCTATAGCACCAAAATTTCTTGCAGAGCTTTCTGCAATTCCACCAGCACTTAATGGAGGAAATATATCAGAAGCAGACATACTTGTACCAACCCCATTTCTTGGATAAGTATTCTCCAGATAACCAACATTCTGCATATTTGCAGAGCGGGGTAGTCTGTTTATGCTGCTCGAAGCATTATTACAACTTGGATAGTTATGCTGTACAGTGTTCTCAGGTCCTGCATTGGAGCTTGAACTTCCACCTGCAAAAGAATGTCCAGAATTGCCTTCAATGGCTTTGCGCTTGCAAGATGAACCCCAATTATCCATAGAAGAACTTGATACATTACTTGTCCCTGTCAAATAACCAGAACTACCTGTAAAGGTTCCACTGCCAGATGGACTGAAAGCCGGAGGACGCACCACTTCCGACCTATCAGATTTGTGAAGTGGAGGTACACTTGTTCGCATGACCAGACGACCATCATCATTATTGTATCCACCACTCAAATTAGAATTTACTGGACTATGATCCAAGGTAAGGCTTGATGATACACTTGGAGGCCTGCCAATTACATGATTGCCACCATAACCGCTTGTAGAAAAGACATTAGAAGGTTCAAATCGGCGTTCTGACCTTGGATTAATCATAACATAATCATTTGATGAAGAAGTCCAACCTTGTCCGATTTTCAAGTCACTGCCACGTGTTCGGTCATGCAAATTAGCAGTGGAGCTGGATTCACCTTGATCCCAGCCACTAAAGCTTTGAGCATTATAATTAACACCATTAACATAACTAGGATTTCTTCCAGAAGGAGAAAGCATGGGATTTGACAATCGATTATCTACTGGATTCCGAAAGTTATCCCAGGGAGCTGTCGCATCCATGGAAGCATTATTTGAAACAGATCCCTGATTAAGATCAATGTTTTCTGGAAAGGAGTCCAAAACACTTCTGTCCCCTTGCATGTGGGTCATTTTGAGGAACACAGGGACCTTAAGAGCACCGGTGAAGGATCCCCTGAAAAATCCACATTAAGAGAAGTTGAGATCGCAAAAAGGTTACAACATAATCAAAGTTTTAGCTGTTCAAAAATTATGGAGAACTGAAATTTGTTTACATAGCAACTGGCAACTTAGAGATCATCTATTCTGATTTCCAAGTATGTAAAGAATATGTTTAAATTATGCCAACATAGTATATAGCGGTCACAATCCGAGTAAAAACCACAATACAACTGCAAAGCATTAGATGATCATGAATTGAAAATTTTCTGCAAGCAGCAAATCATTAACACATATACAAAGACAACTGTGAGAAAGCACTCTACAATCACATTTAATGCCTCATCAAACAACGATCATTCAATTTGTTCTCTAGTTTTCACGTGCCAGCGAAGAACAAAATGAGCTATGCTATATGGAAACAAGTGCCGCTATCTAATAATCATGTACCAATAAAAAAAAGTAGGATTTGTCAACACCTAAGTTTAGGATTTGATGATATGAATATAAGAACATAAAGACCTATTTATTTGAGTTGCTAAATGATCAGTACAATCACAGTTGCTCAAAGGACATGTTTAGTCCATTGAAGCAACTGATTTAAGTGAGCCCTACTCTTTTCTGCTTATCTGAAAGAAATTAAAGTTCTACAGTGCTACATTTAATATCATAATGCAACGTTTAAAGCAGTAAAACTTCCATCTAGTTGTACAAGTGAGGGTTGCTCGAATGGTTGAATACCTTCACCATCAACCGGTAGGTTGAGGGTTTGAGTCGATGGAGGGTAAGTAGAAACATTATTGATCCTCCTGATGGGATTTTTTTTTTGTGTGTGGGGGGGAGAAGAAAAAAATCTAAAGAAAACACTTACATCTAGTGACATACTTCTCGGAGTTGATACATAACTGATTCATTAAGTCTTCTGTAAGACACATTATCCTTTGGCCATGTTCGGAGTTTGTCTTGTTCTGAATAGAACTTTTTCTATTAAAAGCATTTTTTTTAAAAGAAGATAAAGCAAAAGCAAAATCCAAACCAAAATTGCTTCCACAATAGCCTAAAATTTTCAACATTATCACCCTAATTTCTTACCAAGTCATTTTTCTCTTTTAATGTTTCATCTATATTTATACATTACTATTATGTTCAACAAGCTCCATTAAAATTCCTCTAACATTAAGCTAATTTTAAACTTACCATTTAACATTTTTTTACTTTATATTTTTTATGTTACAAACTTAGTGGGCATTTATCCAATAGACCGAAAGTTTCAAGTATCTTGGGCTATTATCCAAGGTAGTGGGAAGAATGACAATGATATCACAGATCATATTGGTGCAGGGTGGATGAAATGGAGGCTCGCATCAGGAGTCTTGTGTGATAAAAAGGTGCCACCAAAACTTAAAAGGCAAGCTCTACATAGTGGTGGTTAAACATAATGTGTTGTATGGAGCCAAAGTATTAGTCGATCAAGAACTCTCACGTTCGAAGACGCAAGTTGCAGAAATGAGGATGCTAAGATGAATCTGTGGACTTTCTACGTGAGATAGGATTAGAAATGTAGATATCCGAGACAAGATGGGAGTCGCTTCGGTGAAGGATACGATGCGGGAAGCAGGGCTGAGGTGGTTCGAGCATGTGAACAAAAGATACACAGATGTCGTAAGTGCGAAGATGTAAGAGGTTGACTATGGATGATTTATGGAGAGATAAAGGTGTGCCAAAGAAGTACTCCCTCCGATACAAAAAGGATGACCTAGTTTGACTTGGAACGAAGTTTAAGAAAATAAAGAAGACTTTTAAATCTAGTGGTTCTAAATTAAAGTTATGTCAAATGTACGAAAATGCCCTATAATCTTATGGTTATAAACATGTCATGTGAAAAGTTAAAATGTTGCCAAAAAAGGAAAGGGGTCATTCTTTTTGAAACACACTAAAAAGGAAATAGGGTCATTCTTTTTTAAACAGAGGGAGTATAAGGGAGAGGCGATTACACCAGACATGACACATCTTCAACTTACCAAGGACATGACCTTAGATTAAGGTTATGGAGCACACGAATCAGGATAGATGGGTAGTAGGTAAGTTGAAATTGTCTCACGTACCTTTCTCTACTACTAATCTTAGTACTACTCTTGTAGTTTATTGGTCTTCGATCTCTATTACACTATGTTGTTTCTTATACTTAGATTATAGTATTATTTTGTAGTTGTTGTTCCTTTTTCTCCTAGAATGTCATGTAATTTTGTCTTTAGTATTTCTTTAGCAAGTGGTTCAATGTTGTCTTCACATGCCATTATCGTTTTCCCCAACTACTTTGATGTGCTTCTTCTTGAGAAGAGGATTTATCAAAAATAGTCTCTCTACCTTCCAAGTCCCTGCGGTAAGGTTTGTGTACACGTTACCCTTCCCAAACCCCACTTGTGGGATAACACTAGGTATGTTGTTGTAAGCTAGAGGGCATTTGGACAGAAGCATTGCAAAATTCTAAGAGAACGATATTTATTTTCAAGTTGCAAATGGTAGTTGGAGTTGTGATTGGACATGGATTCAAACTAGAGTTGTTTTTGGATTTCGTGAGAGATTTGGAGTGAAAATTGTGAAAACAACCTTTTGAATTTCAAAAATTGTAATAATAATATGTCCAAACAATTTTTCCACGAAAAAGTGAAAACAATCTCCGGCCAAATGGACAGTTAATGTTAGGCTAATGCAATAACAACCTACACAGTGTACACAAATGAGGTCGGGGGGGGGGGGTTAAGATCTATGCAAACCTTACCCCTATCTTTACGGGATAGAGAGGTTGTCTTCGATGGACCCTCGGCTCAAAAGAGAAGTTAATATTAGGCTAACACATGTCCTTTTAAAAAGTTCAATCCTGATATTTGCATAACATTGATGGAATTATTGATGTGAAGGTTTGATGAAGAGCTTTGTGAAGGAAAAGGTTGTCAAACATAGTTTTGTTTCTCGAGAGAACATCCAATCAAACCCATTGTTCTCTAAGATATTCATTCAAAGGGTCATCAAAACACATTATTTTTCAGAAAACTTTTTTCAACAAATTTTTTGAAAAAAGAAAAGGAACTCTTTACCGAAAAACTGTCCTAATGTCATCTTAATATTTTGACCTGTTTATTTATAGTAAGTGCTAACAGTAATATAATCAGACATACTACGAAAATCAGAAGTTTTTTTTCCTAACCAGCGGCTTGGAGAAACTCTTAGGGATAAAGTGCTTGCACTGAAACTGTTGACATAAGCAAGTTAGCACTACCCAATCTGCACCTTAATTACACTTCAAAATTTTGGGGTTGACCACAGAAGACTGAAAGACAAAGTCACAAAACAACCCCCCCCCCCGGTTTGAGAAATCTCTTGAAACATTCCTATCCCAAAATCTTCATTCAAGACAAACAATGAGTAAGGGTGATGGATCCCTTTAAGTTAAACCACTAAATGAACACAAAATGAAAAGGTACGATTACATCACCAATTTATTATCTAGAAGCCACTAAATAGAGTAAAAGAGTACATAATTAAATTGCCTAAGTGAATTAGGAATCTCCAAAAGAAAGGTAAATTAAACATTTTCAACTAACTCCTCATTTTTCCTCTAAACAACACCCAACCAAAAGGGAAAAAAACATGGTTAAAGATGAATGTGATAACTATATACATAAAAAATAACGATAAAAACAACAAACAACATTTAAACCATCTCCCCAAACCCCAAAAGAAGAGAAAAAGGAAGGTCTAGATTTTCCCTCTAAACCACCCCAACCTCAAAAGAAAAAAGAATAATAAGGTTTAAGATAATAACGAAAAAAATGGGAAATCAACATTGGGACGGAGGAAGTACAATTTTTTGTGCTTAAAACTTCAAGCAACTAACTTCCGAATCCAACATATCAACATATAATGATGATAGTAATAGTCAAACAAGTAAATGTAAGCATCATGAACATATAAATTTCAATATCCATGGGATAATAACTTCAATCGCAAAAATAAACTTCCATTTTACCATATAAAAGTATACATTTACATCATAAAAGATTTGATTGTCGTTGTGAAGTACTGAGACAGAATCATAAAAGAGAAAGAAGCAAAAGAGAAGCTCAGAAAAAGAAATGGCAGAGGAGACACTTGCGCCTAGAAGAAAGAGAAAAAGTTTGTGTTTGAAGAAGAAAGAAAAAAAGGAACATAGTATAAAGCATTACAAACTCGAGCAGAAGTTAATGTTTACAAAGAAAACATAACAGTACATGGAGACAAGCTCTATTGCTCAAACAGAAAAATGTCCATTTTTTCTTAATCTCTTTTTCATCTCGTAGAAAGAAACTAATCGCTTCTCCCCGTAGAATTTTGCATCTCATTACCACTTCTGACTTCTGTAATGCACATTGTTCACGCATGGCACATGAAGTGATAACCCCTTGTATCACACCATTCTACTCTCTTTGAATATTGTAAAACATAAAAATGGAATCTTGGACAAAATGGTTGTTTAAAGGTAGGTACTAAGCGCTAATCAAGATGCTTAAGTATTCCTAATAGATCGTAGACACAAAGTAGTATCACTAGCATATAAATGAAGTGATTAAGGTCTTTGCATAATGGAGTACACATTGGATATGTATAAACGAGCACACAGGGAATACCACTTTTCACTCTTTCTTCAGCCATGCCTTTAAGGAAGCTAAAGCAGTTGCTGCAGTCAGATCACTTCACGCGACAGATGAAACTACTGGGTGAAGAAATTTATCAAAGTGAGGGGACTGAATAACCAACAAATTTAGCTTGAATAACACAATACAAGTACCACAAACTCAACTCAACAAAAGATGAAAATGTTCTTTCTCTTGGTGGAGACAACATAATCTGATAGCATCCGCGGTGGCGCACCTCCATTAAAGTTGAAGGGTTCAATAAAAAATCAAGAAGATGATTATCAAGGAAGAAGTGTCCAAAAATTGTGGCAAGAAGTGACCTAAATGTTACATATATTTCTTGATCTAAGTACAAGTACATGAGAAGGAAGATTGGGGCCGCATGAGAACCCAATGGAGGGGCCAACACGAAGCCCAAGAGAGGCCGTGTCATTTTTGGACATTATATTTGGGTGCAAATTTTGCACTTCTACCATTATTTTTGTTAGGAAGTTTTTGGAATAGTTTTACTTACTTTACTAGTTTAAAAGTTTTCTAGTTATTATTATCATAACAGGTAAGATTTAAATCTCAACTTATTTAGGATTGGTTTTCCCGGAACATACGGGTGAATTTTGTTATTAAAGACATGATCAATATCATTCGAGTATTTCTCTTTTTTACACACTTGTGTGGGGTGATTATGAATTTATCTTACAATCTGACCAGGTAAAATTAATTCCTAACTGATAACTTTAGTTTTAATTAAAGTAAATTAAATAATGTAATTAGTCTTCCCACTAATTGTCGTCCCTAATTTCTTCAAAATATGGGTCCGGATCACTTTTGATATATGTTCTTGAATTGACACATATAGTATCATAAGTAGTTTTAATCCGCTACATTTGATACTAAAATCACTTGGATATCTTAAGACTTTATCTTAAAATTTGGAGATTTTATTCTCAATCCCACATATCTTCCAATCCTACTTTGTAATCTTAGTATTTTCTTTGGAAACAGACTCTCTACCTCCGCGAGATAGTTATAAGGTCTACTACATCCTACCCTCCCCACACCTCAATGTGGGATTTCACTAGGTATTATTTTTGTTTCCGCAATATTTTTTTGTTTATTCAAATAACCCAATTCTTATCATAATCCTTGCTATTTTCCTATACTTAGTAGAAACTAGAATGTTCAAATGACAAAGACAAAGCTAAATTCTCATGCCCGAGAAAGCGATCATCAACATTATTCAGTATTTGTCAAAAAAAAAAACTAACTCGACTGCTCATGCCTACTGTCAAGGATGAAAACGTATATTAATAACCAGATAAAAAGGGATTAACATGAAAAATCACCATGAGATTTGGTTTTGTAGCCCTTCAAAAACTTGTTTTTAGTTTTACATCCTCGTAGAAATAGATCTGAAAAGGTCACTTTTTTCTATCCAATTCATAAGTGGCAAAGACATCATTTCCTCCAAATTACCCAACAACACAATACCTCAATTCTAAGTTAATCGGAGCCCAGTATATGAATCATTTATATGTCTTACTGCTCTATTCAAATCCATTTCATTCCAATACTAAGTAAAGTATTTATTTTTAACACAACATAAGGGTTCTGTGCATTTCACACTTACCCCAACAAGAACATATAATCTCTAAGTAACTTGTGAGCTGTCTGGTAATGCAAGGAGAAAAAAATCAAGAATTTTCCCCAAATGAGGTTGTTGTTTATATCATAACTTCGTGATTATCACCTAACCCAACAACTATGACCAATAAAGTCAAATCCTCGATATCACCGAGCAAGTTTTACAAGCAACTGAAAACTCAAAAAGTCGGTCAAAATCGAGCAATCCAACACAAAAGGAACAAAGTTGATCAAAACCAATATTCATATCAATATTTGAACTCAGTAGAATCATAGATCCTAATTTTTTTTAAAAAAAAAACAAATACCATTTTTTTATAAGAGCAAAAACTAAACAGTGAATTCAAGGGAGAAAAAATACGAACGAGAAGTTGAAATTTAGACTATATACATACACACATATATATATATATATATGTATGTATGTATGAGCAGGAAAATTAATGGGTCGATGAGAGAACCTGATAATCAGATGGAGAAGATGATCGACCAATTTCTGGTCGAAAACTTAAATTATTGGATTTGTTAAAGTGGGTGTAAAGCTACATATCCATTGATGATGGTTTTGTCATGGTGCTAGGAAATCGACAAAGTATGCCGCTCGAGAGAATATGGATAGATGAGAAGAGAGAGAGAGAGAGAGAGAGTTTTTGGGTGCCTGTGTAGGTGTGGCTCTCAGAGAAAAGAGGGAGTAGGGGAATACAGAGCCAAAGAGAAGGATTAAGCATTCATAATTGTGTATTTATTGTACTATATATATTATAATAATAGTTAATATGTGTTAGAATGGGGTATACAATTATTTTTTGATTTACTTTTTAGGAAATTTTATAAATAGCATAGTTTGTATATTTATCGGTTGTAGCTATAATTTAAATTGTTATATATAACTTTATTTGTATAATTTACGGGTATATTTGTATAATTAAGTTATTTTCATTTGTATTTGTATAAAATTGTTAGTATCAATTGATTTATATTTAATTATGTATTAATTCAAAATAACAAATTCATATAAATACAAACATATACAAATAATATTATATAAATTAGATGATGCAATTATATAAATGTACACGCTTATACAAGCTGAAAAAAATGGAGAAGTAATTATCACTGAATGTTGGTGGCGAGTGGTAATTAACGAAAATTATTGTTATCATAACTAATTAACTAGTATATATCTGTTTAACTCTGTAATTTCTCCTATATTTTTTAGGTTAGGTTAAAATTATGGGCGGACCCACATGCACTTATGATGAGGCACGTGCACGCAGTAATTTTTAAAATAGAATTGTACATATATGTATAGATAATTAATAAAACAAATATATATTTAATTGTACACTCTAAGAACTAAAAGTTATTGTGCGTGCACTAATCGAAGTTGTCTATTTGCAGGTCAATTATGTGAGATTGAATCCCACCGAAGGCAACCTATTTTTTACTTAAAATTCAGCGTTTTCTCTTTTTTTTGAAAAAAACTTTTGATCCATTATCAATTCTTACCGAAGATAAACTTTTTTTTAACTTTAAATTCAGCTTTTAATTTTCTCTTAAAAAAAATATTTTGTCCCATTCCTTTCTTAATTGAATTTATCAACAAATTTCTAAATAAAATATAAGACTAACTTTTCCTAGTACAATTCTAAACAAAATATAACACTTCTAGAAAATTTGTTGCTTACAAGTATTCTTTCCTAGAACAATTCTAGATAAAATATAAGACTTTCAGAAAATCTACCGCTTACAAGTATTGTTCACTGCATATTAAAGTCCTACTCCAATTATCTCGCATAAATTGATAAATTCTCTTTATAAACGTATTATTTTGTAAAAATTTGTTGTTAATTCTTGTAATTTGAAATGGATAGTTTTTTGACAAACATAATTCTTCTCAACTAAGTTCTAGTTTTAGAGACAATTCTTTTGCATTTTACAACTTAAACTGAATCCTGGAGAAAGAATATTCATTGATAAATATAGCCCTAGAATACGAGATGAAGTGAGAAGACGCTATATTCAACAAGTTCCTTGTCAACTGGATATCAATGATAATGAATAACCTCAAACTAGATTCGAAACAAAAATGCATCGATTTTGTAAGGCGTCATTTAGGTTTCATATTCCAAATGGTTGGAGTATAGTATGAAGAAAGATGATGTATTTTGCTTATGTTGCTATTTTTTTTAGAAATGACCATGTAAAGGAAAATGCAAGTGATTTTTTGAAGAATATTGATTTTTATTTTTTATTTTTTAATTATAATGTCAATATTGATTAAAGTGAAATAAAATAATAAACTTCACAATCAAAATTTTATTGGGGCTTCAAAATTTTCGGAGACCTAACCAGGATGCTCCACCAACCTTACCCTTAAGTTTTTCCTCCCAATCTTCAAATCTTACATCCACCTCTGGATATAATTTAGAGAAATTTTCAGAAACAGCAAACATTGTGCCATAAATAGACAATCTTTGTTACCATTTCACTAATTACAATATATAGCTAACACTTTGGTTGTTATGAAATGTATTCTTTTGTTGTTGCTAAAAAAAAATACAAATACAAACTAACTAATTAAAGTAAAACTCGGAAGAAATCTTTTTTCAATATGGTAAACTAATTACAATTACCCTTGAACTCTTTCCATTTAATTTTATCAAATTCTTTGATATTATTTTTTATAAGTTGCATGGGTTTACATTTTCATTTTGAGTGGTGATGTTTGTTTGAAGGTGGCCGAAAATGAAACTATCGGCTAATTTTTTACTTCAATGTCCAAAAATCTTTTTCTTTTTTCGTTTTTAAAGATTCAATAATACAGTTGGCTTTGAAAACCTAGTTAAGGTGAAGAAGACGATCGAAAGTGGGGTGGATGGCCTTTTCTTTTTGAGATAAGAAATTATTGTTTTCAAAAATATTTGAAAAATCTTTTAAGCATTTACAATTCTAAGAATCAATGGAAAAATAAAAACTGATTTTTTAAAAAAATAATAAAACATATGATTTTAGATATGCAAAAAATATGTTTCCTGTCATGTCATTATTTGTGTTTAATAGGTATATATTTTAAATAATTTAAATATTCAATTGATACTAGCTTAATTGAGATGTCTAAGTGAAATATATAGATAATTTTAAGGGATCGTAGATAACTTAAACATTATTTGTATACGTAATACTTATGTTCCATTTTCAAATGTGTATGTGAATTTTTTATGAGTATTCATTTGTAATTATATTAGTTATACTCGTATTCTATTTTTGAATGTACATGTGTAATTGTTTGATGAGTATTTATTTGTATGCGTATCAGCTTAACACGTGTTTCATCTTTGAATGTATATGAGTATTTATTTAATAAGCATTCATTTGTATATGTATCAATCATATTCCTATTCAATTTTCTTATGTTACATATTTGTATGATTAAATTTTTATTTATAGAGAAAATACATAAAAATTTCCTTGAATTGGCTGGAAAACTTATTTTAGCATTTTAATTTTGCGGGTAATTATTTATCTCCCTTTTCCTAAATCTCTTTTCAACTGAATTAAAATACATCCTAATATTATAATTCACAGTGACAAGTGCATTCCGCAAGCGCTATGTCATTGATACGTCAGCGCCATATCATTGATGCATCAGCGTTATGTCATTGCCATATCAGCATCACATTAAGCATATTTAAATTTTGATGTTTAATTCTTTTTTATTTCTTTTTATTTACCCACAATTTCAGAATGTAGAAAAGATCTCAAAAAAATAAGAATTAATACATGATTATAATAAAAAATAATCTCAAAAAAAATCAGTTGAAAGAGATTCAAAATTTCAAAATCATTCTCACAAAAACACTCAATTTTTAAGACACATAATTAAAACAAATAAATAATAACAACTTAAAATGTAATTTGAAATGAAAAAATTGTAGAGTTTCATCGAAAGGAGCTTCAAGTTCATCAAATTCAAACCTTGCCATAAGGACTAATTTAATTTGAAGCAAGAACAAATTGATGGCTTCTTATTTTCCTTTGTTCATCACATTTTTTGGATTTATTGATAAAGGAAATGAGGGTGGGATGGAACATCTTGAAGAAGGAGAAAAAAATATGAAAATTTCAACAAAGAAGAAGAAGAAGAAGAAAAGTGTGAAGCACCGAGATTCGAAGAGAAATAAAGAGGATAGGAGTGGAGGTTCATTTGGGGGGGGGGGTTGAAGAAGAAGAAATTGTAGTGCAAGTGGTGGTTGAGGGTAGGAGGGGTGGATTGAGTGTGAGGAAGATGAAGGGACGGGAGATGGGGGTGGGGGTGGAGGTGGTGGCACTAAAAGTTGGGGGTGGTAGGGTATGAAAAAGATGAAGAAGAAAAGGATTATTGGATAAAATGAAAATACTTGGGGTCCACTTATTCTTTTTTTCTTTAATTCTTAGTCTTTACGCGCTTTATTTTTATTTTTTTTACTTTCCATGTCAGCGATTTGGGCGTATTTTAATTCACTTGAAAAAAATAGGAGGGTAAATAATAACCCGTAAAATAAAGTGCTAAAGTGAGTTTTGCTACCAAGTTATCAGTTATACTCTTTCATTTTCTATTGTGTATGCATATTTGTTTGTTTGACAAGTATATATTTGTATTTGTAGTTATTCCAATGCACCTTCAATTGTCGACAAACATACTTTATGAATCTCTCATTTTGCATCAATACACCACATAGACCAACACTCAAAGCATCACTAAATACCATAAATGTCATACCCTTCCGAATAATGCTAAGATAGGTACTAAGGACAATAACTCCTTAGCTTTTGAAAGTTGCCCTTTAACTCATCATTCCACAAATTAGACTGGTGAATCCCATGGGAAAGTACTAGGCTGAATAAATCTTTTGTGCAATTAGTCTTCCAATTGAGCCTTCAATTTCTTTAACTCTGTCGAGGCAATCCTGTAAGGAGAGATGGAAATGGACTTAGTGTCCATCTCCAAGTCAATTACGAAATTGATAACATGGTCCAGAGAGAAACCTGTAAGTTGGTAGAAAAGACATCCATGAACTCTCTTGCGTCTCTTCTGGTCATTAAAGGGGACAGATCCTTGGTAAGATCACGAATATGGGTCAAATAAGATAAATAAACCTTCTCTATCATACAATGGGCATGAACAAAAGATATCACTCCCTTCAGATATTAATTTGAAGCAACCTAAGCCATGGTAAGCTAAGGCCACAATCTTAGCATAACAATCAAGGTTCGCATGATAGGAAGATAACTAATCCATACCCAATATCATATCAAAATCAGGCATATCAGTAAAATCAAGTCTTCCTAAGTCATCTCACTATAAGAAAATGTCATTACACACCCCGGTACATCCGATCCACCACTAAGTGATCGCCTACCAAGGTAGAGTCACTGATAGGACAACAAGGGACTCACAGACATGATCAATACCCACACAAAAAAATAAGTAGATACATCTAATCAGGTCGACCCAGGATCAATTAATAATATAGTAGAGGGATGATACTAACACATTACCTATTATCACTACATATGAGGCCTCTGCCTTGGATATACCTGGTATATCATAGAATTGTCTATAATTACCACTAGACTAAGAGGCACCACAAGCACTATCTCGAGCTCTTTGAGATCCACCCTTGGTATCCTTAGTACAACCTCTAGCACCTTCTAAAGTATATCGTACCACTGAAGCTGGCG